TTCACGCTGTAGGATTCGATTTATCAGCTGATGCTATACTCTCTGAGGTCTGGTATGATTTACTTTATCTTTCCTAGGATCACACTATCGTTCGCGCCATTTTTGATCTAGACAGGTTCGGTTACAAGTATTGCACTACCACTAAGGAGCACAGAATATGTTTACCTTCAGCATCAGTCGCGAGACTATATGACAGACCACGCCCACGATGGACTCCGGGGTCTGATGATTTCCTGCCATCAATTCCCCTCATGTCATACACTATCGGGCAGTATCTGCTGGCTAAGGCCAAGCGCAGCGCAGCGTTCTCGCTACCAGCCACCAGCTTTGACCTATTATTCCTCATCATCTACGTCATCACACCCACGCTTGGATTTGTAGTGCAGAGTTTCGAGACATGGATGGCGGTTCGAGCGTGTTGTCACCTTCTTACAGGAGCAGCATCAGTTCGATGATGATTCATCTGAGGAAGATTGATAGAATCTGCATTGCACCATTTATACCATTCGACCATCATTCACGGTTCTACTATCATTTTCCTTTTTTTATCTTCATTTTATACTATCTATTTTACCATCCTTTCACCACTTTTTAAGACCGAGTACTGTGTGATTTAAGTCTAGAGGAGGATGTTTATCCGTGCTGATCTTTTTTTTTTTTCATTTTTAAATACTTTTAAAAATTTTATGGAAATTATTCAATTTTTAATATTTTTCTGGAATGTTTGAAACCAAACTATGATAAGTTCGACTTGTATGCTTCTACAATAAAAATGATAGCTCATTTGTAGTTAGTACTAGACAAGGCCGTAGCTAGAATACTTGCACTACAAACTCCCACCAGAGAATTTTTATCTACGGAGATTCTTTCTAACAGGATATACTAGCTTGTTTTACTTATACTCAATATTGATACTTAATTTTCTCATCATTGATTTTAGGCAGGCATCAAGATATACATATATGACATCTTTTCCTCATTCTTACCACTCTCTCTTGTCCTAGATGGTCATGTCATCTTTAGGTGGTACCATACCCTTACCCAATCCTTTTTATTTTCGAACTTCACGCATCCTCTCTTTAGTTTATATCAGCAGATATGTGCAAAAACGCCGGAAAGGGAGGAACGACACAGTTTTCAGTCACTCAAGAGAAAAATTAAAAGAGAATTGGAAAGGAGAAGTACTGGCGTGTTAACTACTTTGAAAAGCTCGTTCTTAATGGTAATTTTTGTGTCCCCTAAGACTCTATATCTAAAGGCGTTTTCCCTTTATAAAAACCAAAAAAAAAAAGAAAAAAAAATGAAAGGGAAAGAAACAAAAGCCTAGAACAGTCTTATATGGCCAAAATTATTTGAAACAAAAGCGATTAGTATTCATCTATTGGAGTTATGGTTATAATCCAGACGAAAATCTAAGTCTGGGGGAACAACAAGGAAACCTTGAGGAAGAAGATCAGAGATTTTATGGCAAGAAGAATGTGACTGGAAACTGTGGATATCTACAGCTCCATCTTCTCGTGTTGTTTTGCATAATATCCTGCTTCTCCAGAAATTAAGGTAACCGTAAACACTTCAAACCTCACCCCTAAAGAGCCTTTTTGAATACCTAGCCTTGATTGCCTTGCTTATATTTCTTATGATGAGAACCACTGAAACTTTTAAAAAATGTTAAGAGCTAGTTTAATGGAAGTTAGATCTAAGTGTGTAGATTTTCGCATGACGGATTAACCAATAAGTTATGCCTATATTTTGGTGAAAATTTTGTAAGGTATACCCGATTGATGCATAATGATTGATTTTAGTCTATAAGTATGGTCTCTAAGAACACTCAAGGAGATACAAAGACTTTCTCACCGTTTGATCATCCCCAAACTTGGACACTTAGTAGAAGACTCAACCAGCTTTCAAATGCAATTGGATTGGAGATATTCTAATCGTTGGATCTCAAGATATTCCATTTTCCGTAGAGACAATTGAAGACGGCCTTGAAGCCTTATTACCGCTGCCTGCTTACCAATCAATGCGGCCAGGACCATGCGACCGCAGCCAACCCTCACTTTCCCACGATCACACACCATGCGACCGCGGCCAGCTATCTCCGAGATTAAAAGCCCATTTCCAAAGCCGAAGTCATTTCCTGACCTTAATTCTGAAACCCTAGATGTCCTAGAGTATTGAAAACTATAAATACATGTCAATTATGTTATTCTTAGATATCTTTCTTATACTTTTACAGAGACAACTTGTTTTAGCCACTTTTCATCGATTTGTAGAGATTTCTCAACCTTGGATTCATCAGTAGAGAAGCTTTTCTTCATCTCTTTTCTTTACTGTTTTTGATTGCTTTCATTAAAACCAATGATGATGTCGACCTCAGCTATGTCTGAGTAGATCCCGAGATGGGCATAGGATTCCCCAAAGGGGCTCTCATAATCGAGTAAGACATCTAGGTTTTTAGATCTGAGATTTTATTTATGTTTTTCGTTTATTATTGTTCTTAATGCATGTGTGCTTGATTGATCACCTCGTGTCTGATCTAGATAGTCAGTGTTGCAAAAGTTTTAATTAAGTATCCGACCTATAATGAAACGAGGGATTATACCATAGTAGTGGAAACTACCTATGGGTGAATCGTAAGTATTGACGAGTCCTGTGCAAGTTCCTACGTCTTCTCCCTTCCAGAGCCAAAGTGGAAACCTACTGGTCAAGGTCGCGAGAGACAGTTGATTATGATCACGACAGTGATGTAGTCATACCGCCGCACTCTAGCTCTAGAACACTAGATATTCATATATCCAATAATCCCAATCTGTAATCCTAGTTGTTTGAAATCGATTATGATCCCCATAGAGTTCCAAAAACCCTAGCGTTTTTAATTACTGTTTACAACCCCCATCGATTTTTACTTGCTTTCTTAGATCTTCATTTTCACTTGCATTCATTTGATTAGTTTACTTTCTTTATATATTACATTTTTCATTTGCTTCCAATCGTTATTTACTTGTTTTCTAGGATTGTTATATTTGCTTTCTTTCTTTTAGTTTAAACTGTGACACACATCAAACCTTTTAAAACCAATTAGTCTAGACATAAATATAGAAACAGTAGAAAAATACTTGGCACACAAACTTATGTGGACTCGATCCGTAAGTACTACAACTGATTAGCTGTGCACTTGCAGCTTTCATTTGTTTCTTTTAGGGTAAAACTTGTTCCCTCACCCAATCGCACACCAATCATCGTTTTTGACTTCTTCTTCATCATCTTTGTATTCTCTCAGTTCTTCTTCTTCTTCTTTTTTTGATTTTTATTAACCTTTTTTATTCTTTACTTCTTATTCCTCTTTGGTCTTCGTCAAACTTATCTTCTTACGGTTTTTTTTTCATATTTTTTTTTCATCTTCACCTACTTCATTTTTCCATTTCTTCTTCTTTTACTTTGTTTCTTCATCTTTCATTTTTTTCTTCTAGTTTTCTTCTTCAACTCCAACTTCCTTTTTTCTTATCATTATTCTTCTTCACTATTTCGTGTTCTCATCTTTTTTTTTTATTCTCCATGGTTTTATTTAAATTTATGTTCATCTTTTTCTTTAGTTCTTATCATCAACTACGTCTTCTTCTTTATATTTTGATTTATCTTTTTTCTCCTTTTCTTCTACTTCTTCTTTTTCCATTTTTTTTCCTACTGTGTCTTCTATATTTTTATCATCTTTGTATATAAAGCTGATTACAAAGCTTATGAGGATTATGAAGGGGACAATTGCTAGTCGCTACAGATAATTCATAAAAGTTTTAAACCACATAACTATAAGGCAATGGATTTATAATAGAAAAACTTCTAGAATCTGAAAAACATTTAAAGCATAAACTAAAATAAAAATATAAATTTATATTTATCTGACGATTTCATTGTAAGGCAAGAGAAGATGAATACAGAACCAGTAAAGTATCAATTATACAAGGAATAGTAGGATCATTACAAAAAAGTATATATTACATTACTTAATTTGTATCAATATGATAAATGATATTATTTTAAATCACTTATTAACAATTGATATAAAAATATATAATTCAGTATCAGTTATGTAACTGATTTTACTATTAGTTAATTTAACATCGATTCAATAACAAATGATACAAATTTTTATTAATTTATATATGAAAAGTGATACAATAATATGAATGCACATCATCACTTAGATAATTGATGTAACTACATTTTTTTGTTAACATCATTTAGAAAAATAATACAAATAGTAGGTTACGTTGTCATAAGAAATAAGCATAAATATTAGTAGAGATTATTTTTTTGTTTAAAAGAGATGGACGATTTTTTTTAAACGTTATGATCTTAAAAAAAATAAATAAAAAAATAAAAAAATGAGGTGGGTGTTTTTTTAAAATGCTATGATCGTTTAAAAAAAATAAGGGTGAACAAATTTTTTTTTTTTTAAAATGCTTAAACTTAGTAGACAGATGTTATATGTAAAAAAAAATGAAAATCATATGGGTACATATAGCACGACGCTAGAGTTCAGATTAATATCGACTTCTATATCGGTGGCCCATTAACAAAATCGCTGACCCATAACTGAGAAAAAAAAACATGTCATAGATAGTTACATGTATGATTAATGATCAACCTATCAAAACTAATTATTGTAATGATGATATATAAAATTTTTGACTTCACAAATAATATTATAGATGACATATAAGATTTTTGACCTCACATAAGATTTTTGACCTTACAAATAATAGTATAGATATATCTTAAACAGTCAACCCACCATAAACAAAGAACCCTAATCTCTCATGCGCGTTCATATATATAATGTCTTAAACTTTCCATCTTATTCCTCTTAAGGGTACTTCACTAAAACCCACTTATATTAATTAGCTGCAAAGGTAAGTTATACGCATTCTCATGTCAATTCAACAAGATAATCGTTCGTAAATTCTAAGGACTAGTCTGTTTTTTCTTTTGCAGATCGATCATAATATAAAACCGAGATGGGGGTAAAATCTAAGCTTATTGTGATTGTTATCATGGTGGTGATCATGATCATGGTAAGCTCCTGTTCAGCTGCGAGGACTACAATTCTTGGAGAAGATATTCAAGAAAACGAGAAAATATCCCGAGAGATGACATGGCAAGAAGAAGATTCAACTGAGAAAGTAGATCACCCAAGAAACAGTGTGGAGAATCACCATTACATCCCAAGACAAGATTTCAACAACTATGGAGCTGGACGTGATAACAATGGAGGTGGTGGATAACTCAAAAGAAATCGTGAAAGCGGTATCGATATATATATATAGATGTTAAAGAAAAATATTTTATAAATAAAAAACGTATGGGTATGTGAAATTATAGTATATGAAGCCAGCACTTCTAATGATTTCTCCTATGTTTTACTAACCATGTCTAGTTGTGATCGTCTGATCATAGATTCATAATGAATTAGTGATGTTCGATTACTGTATTGTCTGTATTATTTATATTATTATTTTTGTTTCCTATATATAAACAAGATATTATATTTGAAAAACTATTTAGAGTTTCATTAATATTGATAATCATTCAGAATCACTTAATTCCTTTTGACCTGAAACATAAACCCGAGTTAATAATATAAATAGAAAACTACAAGATAGCATTTTATCTTTTATATAAACTGTGAGATTACCGAACCTTCGACCCATAATCTCCCTTGTACGTGGATTTTTTTAGATATTCCGATTTAAAAAACAAATAATCCATTTAAAAGGGAGATTGAACCTGAGGCACAAGAAAACTAACCCTTTTGTATTACCACTAGGCCACTGACTCTTTGGTCACAATAATTTAACCTTACAAAATTAATATGGAATACATATATTCTCAAAATAATCATACAAAAGGTAGAATACATACATATATTCTGAAAAGAATTTGTTTAGTCAACCAAATGTATTATGGAGGCTTAAAGTAGGATGATGATGTTGTAATTGCAGAAATGGTAATACACAAAAGATTGTACGGAATAATCTATCTCATTCAATAGACCTCAATGCCTTTTATAGTGCTTACAACAAAAACAAATAACTGACCAACTTAAACTACGGACACGAGCTCAACTAGCTCCATAACTTCCTAAATAGACGCAACAGAAACTGACTCAGCAAACTAGAGAGATAACTCTCTTATTCCTAAACAAACGGAAACACAACAACAATAAAACAGATCAACAGATCAACAAACTCTCCCTTGAACTGAACCTTCTCAAGCATTCAGTTCACACACACCCATTCCAAGTGCTTCTCGGATCCTCTGAAATGTCACCATCTTCAATGGCTTTGTCATGATATCAGCTAGTTGTTCCTCCGTGCAGCAGTGAACCAGCTTAACCACTCCATCCTTAGTTAAATCCCTGAGAAAATGATAACGATCTCTTATGTGCTTCGAAAGTCCATGTAACACTGCATTCTTCGACAATTTGATAGTGGAAGTGTTATCACACAACAACACCATTTCACCAGCTTGTTTATGACCGATTTCCTTCAAGATTCTCTTCATCCAAATGGCTTGACACGCACATGCTGCAGCTGCTACATACTCTGCCTCAGTGGTTGAAAGAGTCACAATTGGCTGTTTCCGTGAAGATTATGCGACAGCTCCTCCACCACTCATGAAAATATACCCCGAGGTGCTTTTGCTGTCGTCTATGCTTCCTGCATAATTGCTATCAGTATAGCCAATGAGCTCAGTTCCACTTCCTTTCTTATACCAAATCCCAAGTTCCATGGTTCCCTTTAGATACCTCATAATCCGTTTTACTGCAGCAAAATGCATCTGCGTGGGGTTTGCTATGAAACGACTGATCAGACTTACCACAAACATCAAATCAGGACGTGTAGCTGTGAGATACATTAAGCTCCCCACCATCTGTTTGTACTGAGTTGGATCAACTTTTGTACCGGCTTCATCTCTTCCAAGTTTCTGTCCAGGAACCATAGGATTGCAAACCGAATTGTAACTCTGCATTTCGAACCTTTCAATGACCTCTGCAGCATACTTCCTTTGACAAATAAAAATTCTCTCATGATTCTGTATCACTTCTATGCCAAGGAAGTATCTCATCCTTCCCAGATCGGTCATATCAAATTCCCTCTTCATGGACCTTTTGAACTCATCCAGCATCTCAATATCATTTCCGGTAAACAACAGATCATCAACATAAATGCTCACAATCAAGATGTTACCTCCCTTTTGTTTAGTGAACAACGTTTGTTCACTAGAGCTGCTGACAAACCCTTCCTTGATGAAGTATGCTTCAATGCGGCTAAACCAGGCCCTCGGCGCTTGCTTCAGCCCATACAGTGCCTTGTGTAGCTTGTAAACCATGTGTTCCTTACCAAGTACTTCATATCCCTGAGGTTGCTCAACATATACCTCCTCCATCAGCTCACCATGTAAGAAAGCTGACTTAACATCCAGTTGGTAAACTCTCCAGCCTTGTTGAGCAGCAAAGGCTAGTATCATCCTCACTGTGTCCATTCTAGCCACCGGTGCAAACACTTCTGTGTAGTCTAACCCATATTCTTGAGCATACCCCTTTACTACAAGTCTGGCCTTGAATTTATCAATTTCTCCTGCTTCATTAAATTTGGTTTTGTATATCCATTTTACTCCAATAGCCTTGGCTCCATTCGGAAGTGTCACCAAGGAACAAGTCTGATTTCTTTCAATCGAGTTCATCTCTGTATCCATTGCTGCTTTCCACTTAGAGTGTTTCACTGCGTCTTGAAAGCTTGTAGGATCGACAATGACCATATGAAAGCAAGATTTTCCCATTCTGTGCCTTCAACTCTTGCCATATTTGCCTCTTCTTCAGTGTCAGAAAGTTCTTCACCAGTGGTATAATCCTCATTCCAGAATGGTGGTCTTCTGGATCTGCCAATTTGCGATGAAGAAGCTTCTGTTGCAGGCGCATTTGCAGGCGCATTCACTGTTACGGGTGCATTTGCAGGCGCATTCACTGTTGCAGGAACGTTTGCAGCAGCATCATTCCCATTATGTACCTCTTCCTCCACTTCTTCATCTTCCTCAGCTTCTAACTCTTCCTGTTCGTTTTCATTTTCTGCAGGCTCATATTTATCTTCCCATTCCAACTCTACATTTTGATCACCCGAGTAACTATCTCCCCAGTTCCATTTCTTCTTCGAAAACCACGTCGCGGCTGATATAAGTCTTTTTCTCTACCGGATCAAACATTTTGTATGCCTTTGACTCACTTCTATACCCGATCAACACACATTTCACACTCTTGTCGTCGAGTTTTGTCCTTTTGACATCAGGAACATGAACAAAACCAATGCATCCAAAAACTCTGAAGTGATCGACTGAGGGCTTGTTTCCACTCCATGCTTACTCTGGAGTCATGTCCTTTACTATCATTGTTGGTGAGCGATTGAGAACATGATTGGCCCATTGCACTGCATCTGCCCAGAAGCTTCTTGGTACTTCTTTCTCCAACAAGATAGCCCTTACCATATTCATTATGGTTCGGTTTTTCCTTTCAGCCACGCCGTTCTGTTGCGGAGTGTAGGCGGTGGTTAATTGTCTCTTGATTCTGTGTCCCTGCAGAAATCTTTGAACTCCTTGGAGTTGTATTCTCCACCTCTGTCTGTCCTTAAGCACTTGATGTAGTTTCCGGTTTGCTTCTCAACAAATGCCTTAAACTGTTTGAACTGTTGAAAAGCTTCTGATTTCTCTAACACAAAGTATATCCAAGTCTTGCGTGAGAAATCGTCTATGAAACTGATTAAATACCTCTTCGAGCTGTTGGAAGGTGGAGAGATGGGACCACACAAGTCAGAGTGGATGAGTTGAAGCTTCTCCGTTGATCTCCATTTGCTCTGTTTGGGAAATGGTGTTCGATGATGCTTGCCTTTGATACAGGCATCACAAGAAATCTTTGCTTCTCCAATATCGGGTAAGCCAGTCACCATTTCCTTGTTATGAAGAGTGGCAAGACCTTTATGGTTGAGGTGACCATACCGGTGATGCCACAGCCCAGCTTTGTCGTAGGCATCCACTTGAAGGCATCTCTCCTCCGTTCCCTTTCCATCTGATTCTCCAAGAAGAATGAACATTCGGTTTGAACTCATTATCGATTCTGCAATTTTTCCTTTTGTTGGATGAAAGTTTCTGCAAGTCTTCTTGTCTCCCTTAAACAACACGTCTAAACCTTTCTCTTGCAGCTGAACGACACTAAGCAAGTTGTTTTTCAGCTCAGGAACATAGTAAACATCACTCATCACATAGCTGATTCCCTTAAGTATGATATTTACTGTGCCTTTCCCACTAACCGCTAGTTTGTGATTGTTTCCAAGCTTGACATTGTGAGTGAACGCATCATCCAGGCTGGAAAACATGCCTCGTTCTCCGCACATGTGGTTTGAGCATCCAGAATCTACAAACCACGCCTCACTTCTCTTTGTTCCTTGGAGCTCCACATATGCCATCAGCAAGACTTCATCTTTCTCCTCCAGCTCTGCATAGTGAGCTCCGTTTCCTGCAGTTGGGCATTCATACTGAAAATGACCCAACTTGTGACATCGATAGCATTCCACAACTGCCTTGTTGAAGGAACGCCCTCTGCCTCTTCCTCGTCCTCGGTAAGATCCTCTTCCCCTATCTCTGTTCACGTTCAAGGCTTGGTCTTCCTCTTCATAGTTCTCTCTCTTAAACTTCTTTTCATGCAAAGAAAGAGAACTCTGAAATTCATCAATGGTCATTGTGCTCGTGTCTCTGGATTCTTCGATGGAGACCAAGTGAACTTTTCTGTCAAGGTTCGAAGGATCTTCTCAACGATCTTCGAATCTGACATAGTTTCCCTATTGCTTCTCATCTTGTTTGACACCATCATCACCCTCTTGAAGTAATCGTCAACGTTTTCATCTGCTTTCATTGCGAGAACTTCAAAGTCTCTCCTTAAGGTTTGGAGAAGAGATCTCTTCACTCGTTCGTTGCCGCCGAACTTTCTCTTCAATGATTTCCACACGATCTTAGACGTTTTGCGATCTAAGATCTGCTCAAACACTTCCCGATCAATGGCTTGAAACAGGTAATGCTTCACTTGATGATCCTTCACCTTAAGTTCATCAAGTTGTTTCTTCTGTGCTGCAGTCATCTCTACTCCTTCTGTTGAATCTGTGAAGCCTTCTTCCACCAGGCTCCAAAGACATTTGGCGCGCAGAAGGTTCTCCATCAATTCACTCCAGTGATCGTAATGACCATTAAAGTGCGGGATCTTGGTAAGAGTTTTGTCGTCACTCATTTTTCTTTTTCTCTTTGATTACTCTCTTTTCTTTTGTGTTTTGCTCTGATACCAAATGTAATTGCAGAAATGGTAATACACAAAAGATTTCACGGAATAATATATCTCATTCAGTAGACCTCAATGCCTTTTATAGTGCTTACAACAAAAACAAATAACTG